TCTGGAAGCATCTAGGAGGCCAGGTGGGGACACTTTGCTGTTGGAGATAAAACTTAACTCATTGCCATAAAGTCAAAAGTGACTCATAGCTGATCTTCCAGCAGGTTTTCAAAGGCTGTGGCAAGAAATTGCACTGCAATCTCAAAGACATGCGGTTCGAATCCACCAACTGCTTTATGGAAGGATGGGCAGGGCAATCTCCTCCTGTGTGATCAACTGCCTCTGAAAACCTGCTGGTTCCTATTCTACAGTACACAACAACAACAAGCCACACAGGAGACAATTGCCCATTTTTTCTCCCAAGGGCCAGTTGGTGGATTTGAACCATGTACCTTTGGTTTGGCAGCACAACTCCTTACCAAATATATCCTCAGAATGAGGTGGACATGTAACTGAAGCTGACAGCAAGATTAGAATAGAAACCAAAGTACTTTGATAGTTAAGCAGTTTACTAACAAATGGCTTAAAGTATATAGCTTAAAAAATAATAATCTACAATCTACCTCGATTCCTCATCTAAGCTCATTATCAGACTCAAGTCCTGTTACTTGAAGAAGTCAGGTCTTCTTGAGGAATAAAATTGTAATTCTACTGCAAGTATAGACAAAGTAAATAATCCTTCAGTTCTTCCCCAGGGAACAAACGGTCATTTCCTAGGCTGACTGTACAATGGAGAAAGCAGAACACCTAAAACATTTGTATTAAGTGCGGCCTCTCACCCTAAAGCTTCAACCCCATATAGAGGTAGGGTTCTTTTTTCAGGGACCCTAGAACTTTGAGTTGCATGGCAACAACTTTACAGCACCTAATAGCAACAAAAAAAGGATCATGTACTAGCTCTGCTAACACCTTTTTCTGAATGGAAGCTGCAGAAATTCTCATTTAGTGATCAGGCCCTGGACTAGAGCTTTTTCTGTTAAGTAGTTCAAACTCTAAGGTACATAACAACAAGAAGTTGCTCCAGAAGGTAATAAAAATGACAATTTGGTTGGAAGAAGAGTAGGCCCTAGGAGATTTACTTGAAAGTTTATTTCCAAAGCGAGTTTTAAACGAAAAGTGATTTATTTGGAGTGATTTTAGAGTGTAGAGGAAGATGATTTCATGTCATCACTCTGTTTCAAGTGTGACCAGGGAAGCATCATCAGAGTATTTAGTCATTCATGTTTGCACTCTCCTGGTCTTTCCCAGGCTGAAAATGTCTTTTCTGGGCCAGGCCTTCAAGAAACAGCTCAGGAACTAAAGGAATATGATGTTGTGTGCTGCTGAGTCAAAACGACACATAGCTGTTTTCAGAAGCAGTATGTTACTTCTAAAAGGAGAGTCCCATCCTTCTGTAGAGCAGCGGCTGGTGGATTCAAACTGCTTGCCTTTGGATTGCAGTGCAGCTTCTTACCAGTAGGCCACCAGGCGGCTTGGCAAGCAGAGGTTTTTAAGTGGTATAAAGGAGCCCCCTAGTGGCCATGACTCAGAAAACCTCAAATAGAGAGTCCTGTTCCTTATGGGTCTGGTGGCCCATTATCCAGGGCAGAACCATTTAAACTGACATAGACACCACTGTAAACCAGAGAGACCACCTTTAAACGAAAGAAGCCTAAGCACAGGGTTGAAATGTCTCAGTGAGACAGTAGATATCATCACAAGACTGACAGACCAAGATGAATCAAACAGAGCTTTACAAAAATCATTACAGTATGTAACTGCTTTCCCTACTTGGGGACCTTACGAATGAAAAGTTGTACTACTAGGCTTCTGTTCATCTTATAAAGACTTACATTACTTAGACTGCATGGATTTCTAGACATTACAATGAAAAGTCAAGTCAGTTCCAGAATGCGGATACTGATCTTAAAGTATTTAAGTATTCCTGGAAATTCTATGATTGTTGCTATGTGCTCATCAGATGCGCTCAAAGCCTGATGTCATAGTTGGCTGTGCCAAGCCAATTTACAGTAAAGAGCTGATTTTTTGATGCTCTAAGGAGGCTGGCCAACTCCATGACAATTAGGGCAGCACCTTCTGGAAATACTACTCACAGACAGGGCTGAAAGCCAGTTCCAGCAATGAGGGCTTTAGAAATTACTAAATCAGGGTTGGAAAGGTGGCACATCAAGGAGAGGAAGACACTCAACAAGATATATTAACAAAACGACTCCAACAAGGACTTAAGCACAGTGGCAATTCTAAGGATGGCACTAGACTGGGCAAGGTTTAGATCTGTTGTACAAAGGTCACTACTGGAGTCTATTTCACAGAAAATAGCAATAAATAACAGATACAGGAAAGTGAAAAATGATAGACTAAGGTGTAAGGATAGACTAAGGATTTAGGACTATGTACTGCCTGCTTCAGAGATTAGGAAAATGATCCACAGGGAAGATAGAAGATGCAAAAATAATTCAGATATGTACAATAAGGATGTAAAATACTGAGGTAAAAAAATAGCATGCACTGTAAAAATAATTGGTCAGTTTTAATACTGTTTTCTCTTTGGGGAAGGAATTCTAAGGCACCCTAGTCGTGTAGTGCATCACATGTTGAGCTGCTAACCCAAAGGTCAGTTTGAATCCACTGGCTGCTTACATGAGAAAGACAGCCTCCTCCCATAAAGATTTATAGCTGAAGGAGGGTCCTGTCTGGTTTATAGTGAGATTTTGGACTTCTTAATTGTGCATGATAAAAGTCTAAGGGGTAATCATTAGGAAAAGAGATAATCACAGAAAATCAGAAGAAGTTGGAAATAATGGTACAACAAAAAATAATTTTTTAAAAAGTTGAGAAATGAACAAAGCATGGCAAAGGTAACAGAACATCTCTATCTGTAATCGGGATTAAAAAAGCCACAAAAAACCCCATTAACATTGAATTTTCAAAGCAAACCAAATTTTATCCATATGAAGTATGAGACACATCTAAAATGTTAAGTTCCACTGAGTCTACTACAACTCAGAGTGACTATGAACCACACACACAGATTAGAACCCTGCCCTTCCCTGCACCACTCTCAGATATGCTCATTATGTCACTACATATTGTTGAGTGCCTTTCTCATTACCATGTCTTTTTCTAAGGACTGAAAACTTCATGCCTAAAGTCAATGAAGTTTCACCATCCTTATCTCTAAAGAACACCCTTGCTGGACTCTTACTTGTTCTTTTGGCAGTCCACAGGATATTCAGTAGTCTCCAAAAGTGTAGTTAAAAGGCAACACTGTCAAACTTTCAGAGGCATAGAAAGTAACTGAAAATACCATGGCAAATATTCTAACCTTTAAGTACTGAAGAGCAATGGTGTCACTCTTGAGACTAAGGTGCGTCCGATACAGGCCATGGTCTTTGCAATCACTTGCTATGTGTCAGAGAGCTGGACAATGACTAGAGAGGATAGGAGAACTGATGTCTTTGAGCTGTGGTGCATGGACTGCTAAGAAACAAACAGGTTATTCCTGAGAGGGTGAAACCATGTTGTTCCTTGGAGGCAATGATTCTGAAGCTTCATCTTACATACTCTGGACATGTTATAAAGAGGGACCGGTCCTTGGAGAGGGACATCATGTTTGGGAGGATAGAGGGACAGCGTAGGAGAGGAAGACCCTCTGTGAGATGGATTGATTCAGTGACTGGGGTAATGGGGGTAGGTGTGTCAGAGACAGTGAGATAGGCACAGGATAGAGCAGGGTTTAGGGTGGTTGTACATAGGGTCGCTATGAGTTGCAGGCCACTCAAAGGTACATAACAACAACAAGGCTTCTAAGAAATGCTATCTAGTTTTAGCTTTGAAATAATCATTGCAAGGCCTCAACACCAAGCAAGGCTGCTTTTAAGTTAAAATCCAAAATGCCCGCTGCAGCTGAGTCAATTCTCGATCAGTGATACTCAGTGGGAAGTTTCACTTTTTTGTCTATGAAGCTGCTGGCGGATTCGAACTGATCTTTAGTTAGCAACCCAACAAATGTATAATCCACTGTGCCATCAGTGATCTTCCTAAATTAAAATTGCCCGAGAACTTTCCAAGGCTTTAGAAAAAGCTTAAGGAGCCCTGCTGGCACAATGTGTAAGTGTTTGGCTGCTAACTGAAAGGTTAATGGTCTGAATCCACTAAACCCTCTGTGGAAGAAAAAGACCTACAATTTTGCGGCCGTGAAGATTTCAGGTAAGGCAACCTGTACAGAAGTTCTATTTTATCAAAGGGTCTCTATGAAATGGTATTGACTTGATGGCAATCTCTTTATATTTTACTCCTAGATCCTAATTCTTCTTCTCTAAACCACAGAACACACCTTACTAACCCAGCCTAAATAGCTCTATTCTACTACTCTAAGATATGCCCTTGGAAGGAAGAGTGGCATCCACTTCCATAACAGCTTGCCTCCGGAAACCCTATGAACCTGGAGAGAAGATGAAAGGCACCCAAGCGTTGAGGACTCTCCTTCATAGAGTCGCTACGAGTCTCCTGCTACTCGACGGCACTTAACAACAACAAGATATGCCCAGTGACCACAAGCTATTAGTTCAAATCAAGCATCCATTTCTCAGCTTTCTCTCCATGAATTTTCCTTTTTATTCCCTGTGGAAGGCACATGACCTAGCATTAAATGGTCAATAGTATTATTGTTAGCCAGGAAATTTTTTCAGATTGAAAACTAAATAAAAAAACTGGAAAAGCACAGTTAATGTTCTCCTGGAAAAGGCTGTCTTTTTTTAACCTCCCCCCCACCCCAGACCTCTAACATACCCCAGGACCTGTTGCTATACAACTTCTCTTTTTTCTCCCCCTCCCCTATTTACTAGCACACCTTTTAGGCACTTTGTAAGGCTACTCTTTGTACTGTGATCATTTAAGAAACTATGGGAAAATGACAAAAAGATCTTTTACAAAAGGCAAGGTATGTTTATTTAGATTAAGTCATCCAGTTGCCTGATTCAATGTGACTCAAGGCCTCAAAGAAACTATCTTTTCCTTTACTCTATCTCCCAAGGTTTGAGCCTAGAGTGGCAGGAATGCTTCTTAGGGCCTGTTCACAGGTTTACAAGTTTCTCATTGAGGGCAATCTGTGACTGTGTGAGATTAGCCAAGTAGGTCACCATCAGCAGGTCCTGGAAGAGAAAGAATCCACAAGTGAGAAAGCCTGGTTCTGACCAGATACATGGGGAACTTGGAGGGTGAGAACTGTCCTGTATAAATGATTGGACCAGACGGAGCAAAAATCAAAGATGAAGAAGGATGGAAGGACATGCTTGAGAACACTTTTTCATCATACTCTTACTCCCATAGACCAGGGGTTCTTAATCTGAGATCCAAAGACAGAATATTGGGAGGGGAGATGTGTCTATGAATTAAAATAGGAAATCTTATTTTTATTCGCTTCTGAATTTTTTACTTTCTTTCAGTCACAGACCTAGGAAACAAGGTCGTATCAACAGTGTTGAAAATATGGAATTAAATATGGATAGGAATATTCAAACATGTGCCCTGTCCTGGTCTTCCTCTTAACCTGGACTGTAAGAACGCTCAAAGTGAAGTTGCTTCCTCTACTTTAATCTCTAAGCCATGTCATCTAATTCCCGATCATCTCTGAGACAGGGGTAGAGACTGAGGGGAAGAACCCAAGCCCTCACAGGCCAGGAGTAGCACTTACGTTGATATTGCTGTTAAGCATGGTCTCAAAGTCATCAGGAACAATTTTAGGTACTTGGTTGACCAGACTCATCAAGAAGCGGCCCACAGTATTGTCAGCTGACACTTTTCCAGACTGAACAAAGGTTCAATGAGGCACTGTTAATTCTTGTCATTGAGAAGACTGTCATTTCACCAGTACACCCTTCACAGACCACAGAGCAAAGATCTTCACCCTCCCCTGTGCCCTCCTTACTAGCACATCTTCTGCATACTGCAATACTGTGCTCAGGGCATCCTGGATGCGGGCTGATGCTCCTCCAACCTGCTGCAAGTCACTTGAGAGTCCAATCACCCGGTTGGGACTAAAACAGGTCTTCATAATGAGGTCAACTGCAGAGGCAGTATAATCAGAGATTAGTGCTTCAACAACAATAAAGTTAAAAGGGAGGTTAGCCTACAACCAGAGAAGAATAAAATAGATGAATGGAACCTTCTAAAAATCAAATCCCTATGCGCATCGAAAAACTTCTCCAATAGGGTAAAAAGGAAACCTATAGTCTGGGAAATAATATTTGGCAATGACATGTCTGATAAGGGACTCCTATCTAAAATTTATAGAATACCCAGAATCTCTACAAGAAAGGTAAGTAACTCAATCACAAAAGAACACAGGATATGAAAAAACATTTCATAAAGGAAGACATTCAGTTGGCAAACACACACATGAAGAAATACTCAAAATCCCTACATATTAGAGACATGCAAATAAAAACAACTATGAGGTATCATCTCACCCCAGGAACAATAGCAAAGTTCAAATGGGCAGCAAACAACAAATGCTGGTGAGGTTGTGGAGAGATCGGAGCCCTTATTCACTGCTGGTGGGAGTGTAAAATGGTGCAATAACTATGGAAGGTGGTATGGTACTTTCTAAAAAAGTTGGAAATAGAAATATTATTTGAACCAGCAATTGGACTACCAGAATATACCCTAAAGAAATCAGAGCCACCACCCAGATGAATGCACACCCATGTTTACGACTGTATTATTCATAATAGCAAAGAGATGGAAGCAACCCAAGTGCCCATCAACAAACAAATGGACAGAAAAACTATGGAATATTCACACAATGGAATACTACATAATACTGAAAATAATAAACTCGTAAAACATTACACAACATGGGTGACCATGGAGGATACTATGCCGAATGCAGTATCTCAGTCATAAAAGGACAAATACTGCATAACACCACTGTTATAAAACAGGACTGCCATGGAGAGACACTAGGGGTTAGATAATGAACAATGCATTGGAACAAATTAAAGAACTGTTTCAAAGGAATATATGATTAGGCATTCTATGTATGACAATAGTCCAGAATAAAGAGGTATACTGCAAAGTGGATGGGGGGAGGAGTGAAATAATTGTGTAACAATGATTGAATGAAAATCCAATTTTCTGTAAACTTGTTAAAACCACAATAAAAATAAAAAAAGGGAAGTGATTCTGTTCTAGATCTCGACTAACACAGATGGTTAATATTCTATGCCGCTGAATTGGAACGATCTCAGAACTGAGCTTCCCACCCCCATACAGTGGTTTTTCAGAGGCTGTGGACTGTGCAGGAGACAGCCCATCTTTCTCCCTTACAGGAGCTGGTGGATTCCAACTGTCTGCCTTCAGATTGGCAGCGCAACTCCCTACAGACTCGGAGCCAAAGCTCCAAATGGGATTCTCCCATCTATTTATCGTAAGCAAAGGTTCCACAGGTGCTTCTGCTACATATCTATGGTTGAACATATACACTGAAACAGAGGAAGTGTGCTCTCAAACGAGGGAGACAGTCACTGGGAATCTAGTTTGTCTCTGGTGTGAGGGCCCCATGTGAGTAATTTTCTTGTAAGCCCTGATCATACTTGGTACAGTATCTTGAAGGTCTCACAAAGATGGGGAATAATATACTTACTAGGAGTTAAGCTGATGTGAATAAAAGAGACTTAAACTGACCTCTGAAAGAGGAAGACAAAAACGTCCTCTCATTTCTACGTAAGAAGTAAACCTGAGTGTAACTGTGACATGTGATTTTTAAAAATGGGTAAATTATAACCCACCAATTTAATAACAAACCTTTTGATAAATCTTGCACAACATGACAGACTTGTGGGTCAGGAGACCGTGAAGGTCTGGACTGTGAATGTTGCGCTAGCAGTGTGTGGGAAATAGGCCTGAAGTTGACACTGGTGATCATGTTATCAAACACACCAAGTGCTGTGCCCTTCAGAAAAGCATCTTAGCATAATCTTCACAGTAAAGAGCCCGGCATAATACAGGATGAAAGAAATCCTTTCCTAGTATAGGCTGCATAACTGAAATACAAGGTAGTGAGGTGGGAACATTAGTTTTTATGTACCAAATCAAAAATCTCAATCTGCTAAAAATAGTAATTGAGAAACTAACTTGTTTTCATGACAATGCAATCCCTGAGAGAGGGAAATAATGACTCTCTATTCTAACACCTTTCTAAGAAGGAATAAATGAAAACTCTTAGGAAAATGATGAGTTATGTGAGTGTAAATTATGCTAATTAAGTGACATAACCAATATGGCTGATTAGTTTGTGGGAAGATAAAATTTCTCACCAGTGAGGCAAAGTGGGAAAGGACCTCAAGTAGATGTTAAGGCAGGAAGGACAAGACGAGGGGCTGGCTGAGGTAAGCATTAAAGGTCTAGGCGTAAGAGCAGAGTTTAGAGAGAAGGATGAGACAGCAGAGAAAGAACAGCACCTATCCGTGAGTACTGCCCTTGATCCCATAGTGACAGGGAAATAGAAAATGGTCAGAAAAAATTTCATTTAGAAATAACCGAGATGATAAGGACAGAGTTTCTACCTTCATGATCTCATGGCATTCGTTGTCATCTGTCTCTAAGCTCCCCAAGGCTCTCTAACCTTTCATGGAGCAGTTATGCTCTCCTCACAAAATGCTGAAGACCTCTGGGAAGGCTACTCACCTCCAATGCGTTCGGTGTCATAATATGCGTATCTCACTGTCAAAGGTGTGAACATCACTCCCATGGTCCTTCCAGGGACACCCATTAAAGTGCTGGGGAGAGAGAAGAACAAGATCAATAGACAGTCTCAGAAGAGGAGTTCCAAACCTAATCTAGGCTAGAAAAGAAGCCTATGAAAAGAAGATACGGGGACAAGAGTATGGCTTCCAAGGTTCCAAGCCAAGAAGGCTAAATCTCCTAAATCCTGGAAGTCTCAGGAGTTAAGTTTCCCTTCACCTCATTTCACACACCAAACCTCTGATCTGAGAGGGAGATTCAGTGTGGTACTTTTTAGAGGATTATCTCACACTGCACAATCAAAAGACTGATTTCCGTATGATGCTGGGTGCCTACTTATTATCCCATGAAAAGAATGGATAGAGACTGAGGCCTTCACTAACACCTTGGTTCATACAATGATAAACACGACTCCTACCCAAGAACACTACTGGGTTAAGGGCAAATAATTATTTCATTAGCTGTAACTGTCTTTAAGTCAGGTATATAGTTGAAATTTCAGAATTACAGAGAATTCTGAAATATCTGAACAGACTAAGAAATCAGGGAATAGGCAAGGCTTGGTGCTATAGTGCACAAGGACTTGGTAACTACCTTCTAAGAAATGGAAACAGTACAAAATTACACAAGAGATTCACTAACAAACGCCTTCATTCTCACAGGAAGATAGAATTCTTTCAACCCCTATAGCAGCACCTTTTCAGCAGGCCATTAGGGACCTCCTCAACTCTTTCAACCAGAGTTTTAATTACAATAAGCTCAAGATGTCAAATGTTACTGTCATTCAACCCAGGGGTTAATAGATGCCCTTAAAATAATGATCTTCTTTTCATCTGTACAACTCTGAGGACTATGCTTTTTTCAAGGCACAATGACAAACTAAGCGAAAACTCAGGAAACAATGAATATGAGAGAATTGTGAAGAGGTACTATGTAAGGATTGACTCTAAGTATCTACCTTCTAGGAAAAAAGAGAACATTCATGAAACATGATCCACTATCCCACTGCCATCAAGCGGTCTGACTCCTAGCAATCCTCAGCTAGGTTTCCGAGGCTGTAAATCAATGTGGAAGGAAAATACCCATCATCTTCTCTGGGAGCGCCAGGTGGCTCCTGTGGTTAGCTGTTTGACAGGTTACACAACACCAGGCCACCACGGCTTCTCATGAAACATGACTGCTGCCTCAAAGTTACACACTAAGCAGCTGTGGAAATTCTAAATGAACTGGTTAAAACTGACAAGTAGAAACCAGAGAACGATTTGAGTGGCAACTGCAGGGACAGATTTTGTTTCAGAGTGAAACCTTCCTAATGCTAACTTCTGAGAGAGAAGGAAAGGGCTCTTAGGAGGCACTGAGTTATACACTAAAGAAATTTAACTTGCTTGGGGATGGAGGAGTGGAAAGGACAGTGGCAGGGGGAGTTGTCCCAAGTCACCTGACATAGGCCTTGATGCTCATGCGGCCATTCTGGAGGCTGGTGTCCACAGTGAGGTGAATGGGGTTGGGGGCCTCTCGGCTATAGTACTCATGAATCAGTACAGAATGTTCTGTGATGTCGTGGCCTGTAGCGTACCTGGAAAATAGAACACAGTTGTGGAGGTCAACAAATGGACTAGGCTTGTACTTGCTCTGCTGTTATTAGAAAGGTTGGAGGTGAAAGCCCATCTAGAGGTATCTCTAAAGAAAGCCTAGTGACCTATTTCTGGAGGATCACAGTCATTTTATGACCCTCAGGCCTACCTGGTTCTACTCTGAGAAACATGGTGCTACCATGAGCCAGAACGAAGTTGATGCCAACTGGCTGGTACTGGGGTGAGGCAATATCCTTCCAATACCATCTCCAAAAGAGGGAGTATATTACCATTTCCCCCAATGACTTACCAGCCTAGGATGAGTTCATTTGGAGAGACTTTCTTGTGTAACTCATACATGTTCTTAGCAAATTCCATGTCAACAGCCACCTAAGGAGGAAGGTAGGCGAGAAAGCAAAGACGTCAGAAACCTAGAGAGAAAACAGAGAGCTTACTCCCAACAGATAGACCAGGCCCACGAGAAGTGTGCAAACTACAGCCCTGAGTTTTATGAGTCTAGTTATGGACACAACACATTCATTGTATAAGAGGAGCCCAGACAATGAAGAGCTAAAGTCTACATAGGGATGCCTCAGATTCCCACTCACCTCATCCTCAGACTCATTGTGGGGCACTGAAAAGCAATTTGTAACTTCCACTGAGTGCTTGTCGACAGTTCCTGTGAAAGAAAAGAGTTGTTCATATATATTCCCAGAGCTTGAAACAGCCTCTAACCACTTTCAAAATACTTTAGGTGGCCACTTCAAAGTCAATGAACACCTCAACGACTTCACTACTTCCAAGTTCAGCACTTAGAATGGGATGAGGATTTTCCAGAGAACTGACACCCTGGAAGTAGAGCCAGCTCTTTTCTCTGAAGACCAAATCTATGTCTTTGAATTGTGTTGTTGGCAAAAAGCACTGAATATCCCAAGGGCTGCCAAAAGAACAGATTGGTCTCGGACAGAGTGCTCCTTAGAGATATGGCTGGTGAAACTTTGTCTCACACACTTTGTGGGCATGTCGTCAGGAGGGTCAACCCACTGAAAAAGACATCATGCTGGAAAGGCAGAAGGCCAGAGAGAGGAAGATCCTCAATGAGAAGGACTGACACAGTAACTGCAACAATGGGCTGCAGCTTGGTGGAGATGATGATGGTGGTGCAGACTGAGTAGGGCAAAGTCTGACTGACTGTTCATAGGGCTGCTATGAATTGTAGCTGACTTGACAGCACCTAACCCCAACCTCTCTTCATCACTGCTAAACAGCGCCTGTTCTTCCTCCACAGATGATCTTTTATGTTAAGACCTTGATATAGCTATTTTCCCTAACATTTGTTCCTTTTGTTGTTAAGAATAAACACAATAAGACATACAGCAATCCAACAGTTTATACAGATACAATTTAGTGACTTTGATTACATCCTTCACATTGTTCAACCGTCCACAATCTCATTTTCCACCTTGTTCATCTCTCATTAACATAAAGTCAATGCTCTCTAGTTTCTGAGTTGTTATTGTCAATGTGATTTCACATAGACAGCAATTACCTAGTCAATAAAAAAAGAATAGCTACCAGATGGCTTTATGAGAGGAGATATTTTTGGTTTATCTCAACAAGGTACCAGTTTTAGGGATTCATCCACCATCCAGAGTGCAGAGTCTGAGATTTTGAAATATTTTTCTGCATCTTGGCAGTAATGGAGCTGGGCACCATGGAGTTCTCACGGCAAAGAAGGCTGCTGTATGTGCGGGCAGTTAGTCAGACATTTCATATACCTTCCTTATTTCCTACTCTCCTTTGTTGGCCCAAGTAAGTAGAGAACAAATTACTGTGCACTGGTTGGCTGCTTGCAAACTTGTAAGACCCAAGGCACTGTAAAATGAACTTGGAGATGGAATGGAAACACTAAACCTATTCTTAGGCCAATTGACTGGATTGTCTCATGAAATTATGACCCTTTATGAGAGCACTGATGACATTATATTCTAATGGTTTATACATAAGATTATTTTACCATCTCAAAGTTAAAGTTAGAACATGTTTTTGCAAACTTTAAGTACCTAATAGTTTCTGGTACATAAAGACGTTAGTGAAGAAAGTAAAATACGAGTTTGACCTAATGGGTATCTGAGAAAATAGTGGGTTCCTAGTAGGTGGAGTTAATGCTCCATTCTTGTATTAGCACTGCCCTTACAATCTCCATCTGGAAGATGACCTTCCAAAGGATCACCATAATATTTCTGGCACCAAGCATCAAGTATTGGGTGGACTGTTCCTTTAAAAATTTCCACTTAGCTCAGAAACCTTGACAGTGCAGCTGAAAGAGTAAGTCAGTATTTGTCAAGTGCCAAATAGGAGACATAAAAATAATTTTTTGCTCAATGCAGGACAGTTAGAGGAAGTTCTCATTAAAAATTAGATGAGGTAAGGATGGAAGACTGGTACTGGACATTTGTCCTGGGAATCTGGCATATGAGGACTTTCCAAAACAAAGAGGCAAAGCAGATACTGGCTTTTGTGGCAAGGAGGCTATAAAGACTTTAAGAAAAACCATGGTTATATTTGGAAGACAAGATATCAATTTAATTCTTGCTGATCTAGTCCTAAGAAGCTGCGCTACAATCCCAAAGGCATATGGTTCAACTCCACCAGCTGCTCTGGGAGAAGGATGGGCAATCCCCTCCTCTGAAGACCCACTGGAGGATCAGTTATGAGTCAATTCAGACTCAACAACACACAATAACAAACTCACAGGATAACGTAGAGAACGTGCATTTGAAAGGGTGTAATGGAAGGTGTGAACTCACAAGCTGCTCTATGAAGAAAGATGTGGCAGTCTATTTCAGTCTTCAAAAAACTATAAGGAGGTTCTACTCTGTCTATAGGGTTGTTTATGGGGTAGAATGGATTTGTCAGACATGGGTTTAAGCTTGACTTGGTAAAATGATTTTGTACTTAATGTGTATTTGAAGATAGTTTAGAGGTTTTCTGAAATAATTCAGTTCTAAAGCTAGAGTAGCCTTCAAACACATTAACTTGAAGGAATGTGCTTCACAGTACATGGCTAATGTATGATGGAGTCTGTCTGCCTATCAATCTTTTTGTCTTTGAAATACACTAATTGTCTTCGAAGGTGTAAACAAAAACCAAACCCACTGCCATATGGTCAATTCTGTCTCATGTAGAATATTCACTGACTTCTGAGGCTATAACACCTTACGGGAGATTGTTCCTCTTTATCCAGAAGAATGTCTCGCAGATTTGCACCTCTGACTTTTTTGCTTAGCAACATAACATGTAATGCACAGCACCAGCACTGCCTTCCAAGACATAAAGAGTGTTAAATGTCCAAGAGTTAAGAAAAACAAATGACGCATGCAACCAGAGTTAGTCCTCAAAGATGTAAAAAACCCGTGAGTAATTGGAGTGGAAATGAATCTGGTGGTACCAGCAGTCCTCAGAGAAGGGGAACTGTTATAAATGACACATTTTTAGCACTTTAAAGTGTGGAAAACATCTTTACCCTTAGCTATTCTCCAAACTTGGAATATAAGTAAAGAAAAGATTATTCTTTAATTTGAAGATCAAGCAGCACCATAAATACATCCAACTATGGTTGTATGGTTGGTCCAAATGTAGAATTACAGACAGCACTGGGAAAACAGGATCTATCACATCAGGAATAAAGGATCGGCCACCTCGGAGGTTTAGGGACGCAGAGAATCATAAAACCTTAAATGGGGTGCAGTCAAACTGGTTTACTTCTTGGGGGAGTGATCTTTTTACAGATGCCCCCACTCCCTTGCCAGCTACTTATAAAGATCCTTGTAAACATCTAAACAGTAGACATAGTCAGTGGACGAGTGAGAAAACGTGGTTACTGGGTTTAGCGAGTGAAGAGCTCCCACTTAAACACTTGCTTATATTTGGTAGGAATTAGTTACATTAAACGTAAAATGCTACTAGGAATACAATGTAAATCAATGGACACGGTACTTATACGGTAACTACTAATCATGTTTTACACTGCCCAAAGTGACAACAAATTTGCACAGGAGAGAGAGAGGAGATTTAAGTTCCTTTAAAAGAAAAATTACAGCAAGAAAAAAAGGATGAAGAGACTTGCAGGAAGTCAATGAGGGACGGATGAGAGGGAGGCAATACGGCAGAGCTGGAAGACTGAATGACAAGTGATATAGTCAAGAGAGAGGTAGGAGACAGAAGACATCAGGTTTTTTCTCACCCAGCAAAGTCCCGATAACTCGGGCAGCGCCCTCATTGCGTCGCTCATAGCTGTCCACGATGGAGGCTAAAATGACTGGGTGCAGACGGACCACGCGGCCGCCAGGGAAGGGCCCAGGGAGAGCCGGGCCGGGCGGCGGCGGCGCAGGGGTCTGCGCCGGGGCTTGCGCTGCGGCCGAGGTCTGGCCCGAGCCGGCGGGCGTAGTCGCTGGGGCGTTGGGGTCCGAGGGCGAGACAGGAGCCGGAGCCGGGGCCGAGGAGGGGGCAGGAGTCTGAGCCGGAGTCGGAGCTGGGGCTGAGGTTGGAACAGGAGCCGCAGCCGGTGCTGGGGCTGGGGTGGCAGCAGGAGTACTCGTGGGTGGACTCGGCGTGGCCATCTTGTCTAAAGAGGAGGCTAAAGAGGAAGAGAGGGTGTATGTGAATGTTACGACTTCGAGGATGTGCCATAGGCTGAACATGTGCCACGTGAACGAGATCTTGACACCTATTGGTTACTGATGGTACACTCAGGGCACCAATATTTCCTGCTCTGCTGTAAATTCTTCCTGAGTTTGTATCATTGCATTCGGTCCGATGTGCACACCGTTAGAACTAAAGCTAATGGTTCCTAGAAAACGTCGACCCACACTACAAGAGAAACAAGTCTACGCAGTTTGCTCACTTGCCACCAGATGGAGGCAGAGAGCCCGTGCATTAAACTCGAACATAAATTCCTTGCCTTGAAGTTGGAATACTCATTTACAGCTGACCCTGCAGGGAGTTTTCAGAGACCAATATTCAACTCGACGGCACCCAACAACAACAAATCACAGAGCAGAAGATTATCCATTTACAATGCTCTTATTAGGTGCCATGTAGTCAAGTACGGCCATGGTTGTGGAATGTAGTAGTTGCTTTTTAATTTTTTTATTAATTTTAATGAAAGTTGACAGAAACTTTGCATTTCCATTCACTCATTGTTTCACTTTTCTCCCTGCCCAATCTCTCCCCCCCCCACCCCGGCCACACCCTCGCTTTCCTCTTCGGAAAGTAAGAGAAAAATTCTTTTATTGTTTTACAATCCCTTCCCCCAAGTCCACTCCACTATGCAGCCTTTGTTCTGGACTCCTATCATGACAATAATACCTAATCACATATGCCTTTTAAACAGTACTCTCCCTCATCTGTTTCAATGCAGTATACATCATTTATCCCATCTTTCTTAGTCTCCCCAACCCCTTTGTCAGTCCCATTTTACAACGGTGGCACTATACAGTATTTGCTTTTGTGACTGAGATATTTCACTCAGCATAATGTCCTTCAGAATCACCCAGTTTGTATAATATTTCATGAGTTCCTTATTTTTCAATGCAGCATAAGTATTCCATTGTGTGAATATACCACAGCTTCTATATCTATTCTTTGGTTGATGGGCACTTAGATTGTTTCCAACTCTTTGCTATTGTAAACAAAGTCGCAAAAAACATGAGTGTGTATTTATATGCTTGGGTGGTGGTTATGGTCTCTTTGGGGTATATTCCCAATAGTGAGTGGAATTGCTGGGTCAAATGGTAGTTGCTTTTTTTAACCACCAATGAACAAAGACAAAGATAACCAAAGTTCTAGTGAGAAATAGACAATAACTATCACATAGTTGTTTAAGTGCCATTACTCCACAGGAGAAAAGACTTGACATCCATTCTTGTAACAACTACCCACTGCTGTTGAGTATATTTTGACTCACAGTGACCCTCCTTAAGTTTTTTAAGTATGCAAATTTTCATAAGAGGAGGCTTCCCATAATTCTTCTGGGAACTTACTGGTGGATTTGAACCACAGATCTTTGAGTTAGCAGCCATATGAATTCGATAGTATGCAACTGAGGCTCCTTTATGTAAAGATTACAGCCTCAGAAACACTATGGGGTAGTTTTATTTTGCCTTTTAAGGTCATATGAGTCAGAATTGGCATTAGGGCACCCCAAATGATGATGGCTATGATGACAATTTTTTTAAAACTTTGTATTGTTATGTTCTTAAGTGGCAGAAAGCAAAGGGTATCTGGAAATAGCTGTGTTTCATTGACTATGCAAAGACATTTTTGACTGTGTGGATCACAACAAAATGTGGTTAACCTTGAGAAAAACGGGAATCCCAGAACACTTAATTGTGCTTATGCGAAATCTGTACTTGAACCAGGAAGCAGTCCTCAGAACAGAGCAGGAAAGCACTGAATGGTGTGTCCTGTCTCCATACCTTTTCAATCTACATGCAAAACAGATAATTCAGGAGGATGGCCTTTATGAAGAGGAATGTGGCATCAGAATTGGAGGAATACTCATCAACAACCTGCGTTATGCAGATGACATAACCTTCCTTGCTGAAACTGAGGAGGACCTGTAGCTTTGCTGCAGAAGGTCAAGGACTGTAGTCTACAATATGAATTGAAGCTCAACATCAAGAAGACAAAGATTCTCACCACAGGACCAATTGGCAGCACAATGACAGATGGAGAAGAGACTGAGGTTGTTAACAATTACAGCTTGCTCATTTCCACAATCAACACTCTTGGCACCAGCAGTCAGGAAATCAAATGACACATTGCATTAGGTAAATCTACTGTCAGGGACCTCTCCAAAGGACTGAGAAGCAACAGTGTCAGTCTAAAGACTAAGGTATATCTGATCCATGCCATGGTCTTCACAATTACTTGTTATACATCAGAGAGCTGGACAATGACTAAGGATGACAGAAGAATTGATGCCTTTGTGTTGTGGTGCTGGAAAAGAATGTTGAAAATACCATGGACTTCCAAGAAAACAAATAGCTCTGTCTTGGAGAGGGTGAAACAAACTTTCTCCTTGGAGGCTAAGATTCTTAAGCTCCATTTAACATGCTTTGGGCATGTGGCCAGGAGGGACAGATCCTTGGAGAAGGACATCCTACTCACAAGGGTGGAGGGACAGCCCAGGAAAAGAAGACCCTGCATAAGATAGATTGATACAGTAACTGGGGCAATGGGGGTGTGTGTTGGAGTCAACAAGACTGGCTCAGCATAGGGCATGGTTCAGAACTGTTGGACACAGGGTTACTATGAGTCGCAGGAAACTCAACGGCACATAGCAACAATAACATTATGATGTTATGACATTGATAAAAATTCCCATATTGTAACAGCACTTTCTCTGATTCCCCCTGTGGTTCTTGTTTCTGTTCCTCCATCTACCTTCTCCCTTCCTGCCCCGTGAGTACTATGAAAATATTACCAGAAGCTGATCTGTGCTTTTTCTCCACCGGAGCCACTAAAGTGGTTTGATCTACCAATCTTTCACTTGACAGTCCAATGTTTAACCTTTGTACCAACAGGGCTCATTGTCTGCATAGTAAGTTAACTGTTAAGTGTTGTAAGGACAAACACAAGTCAAATAAAAAAGGTCTTAATTATCCCTTTTGAAAAATAAGAGGCTCTCCTCCCTATTCTCAGGTAGATTCCAGCTCATAGTATCTTTGTTGTTGTGTACCATCAAGCCAGAACTAACCCATAACTTGGTCTTCAGGGGGTTGTCAGAGGCAGTAAATAACATGAGAGGAGACTGCCCATCTTTCTCCCATGGAGCAGCTGGTGGATTTGAACCTTGTACGTTTGGGTTACCACTAAGGGAGGAGGATGGACAACCTCCTCGCATGTGATTTACTGCCTCTGAAAGCCCACTGGAGGGTTAGTTATGGGTCGGTTCCAACTCCATGGCACTCAACAATTACAACAAACCACTTTGTATAGGTAAACTACTTCGTAATTGTAAGTTCTTTCTGTATTTTAAATTTTTTTTTGGTAAATTCCCTTTGAATGGTATGCAAATAAAAAAGGTTTCCTCAACAATCTAAGGATTTTTTTTTTAAATGTCATCATTAGGGAAGATTACAGCTCTTCCTCCTAGTTTCCTGGAAGTAGATTAGCATAATTTCAGGTATCCTGCTACAAAGATATTACAAAATTAGCTATTTTACCTTGAAAACAGGAATGTGGTGGGCTGCGTCCACATAGCTATATATACACAGATTCTTTTCTGTCTTTGTAATCTCTTTAGCATATTACCTGTGATGTAAAAGTTCCAATTTAAGGTTTATTCAATAATAAAACTTTTCTATCTCTTTTATATTTGTGGAGAGGTTTTGTTGTTGTGTTTTTTTTTTTTTTGGTTGAAAGTATATTTTGTTCTTAATTATAATTCTCTAACAGCACCAGTCCTTGGAAAAAGACATCATACAGGAAAAAGCAGATGGTCAAGGAAAAAAAAGGAAGATTCTCAATGAGATAAATAAACAAAGTGACTGCAACAGTGGCCTTGCACATGGTGGAGTTCGTGAGATGGTATAGGACAGGCAAGCTTGTTCATAGTGTGACTCTGAGTCACACTCAACAGCACCTAACAAGAAAAACAGTGCCGTGGAAATAGGAAAACAGCTCAAGGGGAGGAGGTGGTCAGGAGCTGGGAGAGAGAAATATCACAGTGAAAGTTTTGCGGTTGCATGAAATCTTGGAGGATCTATCAGCCATCAGGGAAGAGCTGACAAGGTAGAGAATAGAGATGAGAGACCTTAGTGTAGGTGCGGGTGTAGTCTGTACAAGGAGGCCATCTACTGGCTGGAATGCTAAAGTCAAGGAGGAGAATAGCAGAAGACCCCTTAGGGCATGTAGAAGGCGGATCATTAGAGACCATCTGGTCAAGGTAAACTTCAACTATTTATCTCAGATAGATGGACGGTCACTGCAAGGTTTACAGTAGGGGTGAATTATGTTTTGTTTCAGTTCTAAAACAATGCCTGCTTTGAGAAGGATAAGCTGGGGGTGTCTTAGGGAGAAGGAGGTAACAGGGTAAGGGTGAGGGAGTGGAGGGAGAACTGCTGGGAGGTTACCGAGGTAATTTACTCAGAGACTCAAGTTCTTCAAAGCAAGTTTTGAAGGAGTGTGTGTAGAAATATGCTGTGCAGAGGTTGCTTTGGGTTCCTGGATGCCTGGGGCATGTGCTTGCGGATTTAGCCTGTAAAGACCAGGGTCATAACTGTCTGACTCATATTAAGACCGGACGTGGTTGAAGTGGAGAAAGCTGGAACTTACAGCTCAAATGATAGGAGGGCCACAAGGGGGAGCCCTAAGCTGTCACAAATCAGCTGAAGTGAGGGGGGAAACCTCACACTAGACCCGCTGTAATCCAATCCATTCCAACTCACAGCGACTATAGGACAGAGTGGAAACAGCTCCATTGGGTTCCCAAAGCTGTAATCTTCATGGAGGCAGATTGCCACACATCTTTTTCCCCATGGAGCAGCTGGTGGGTTTGAATTACCTGTTTTAGGGTTGGCCGTGCAACTCCTTACACACTAGGCCAAGTGAGTACCCTGAATCATCATTACTAAGTTACAAT